ATCAGTGTCAAACACTCCTCTGCTGAACGACAACAACGAGCATCTGGACGATCTAAGCATCTTTCCTTCACTTTTATACCGCAGTGAAACCCTTAGGTCAGTCACAATGGAACACACAGGACAGAGGCGAAATCATCGAACTAACGTTAGCGTGTATTCTTCTATGGCAATGCAATGCCAATACATGTGCGACATTGGCTTCTTTCATTGTTCTGTTGTGATGGTGGGACGAAGATGTACGATCGGTAGCGTGAACCACGAGCGCTGATCAGAATTATTAGTCAGTCTGTTGAAGTTCAACTAGATCAGCAATATTACCTCAGTTTGAATGCAGCCACCATTTGCGCCACACGCTGTCAGCTCATTTGTCCAACGCGTCCCTGAGCATCGTGGTTTGTGAACCTCTTGCATTTACATTGGTGCGCGGCAGCATTATTGGTTCGACTTTGCCACCAAACACACCATCCTATGTGGGCAATGAATTTCGATGAGTCATCGAGAGACCTGAGATAATCCAGTTTCGATCAGTAACAGCTAAACCAGGAAATATTATTAGAAGGTGAAGAAACAGTTACCTAATAATTAAGAGGGCGTCAATGATGGACAAAGGATTTCACACGTCTAGCCCACAGATTACCAAAACAAAGCAGGGCATTCAGAAAATAAAATGAGCATGTCAAAATCAGAGTTCCTTCGTATTCACTAACTTTTGGTCTGACAAGCCTGCCTGAGCACCTTAGGCAAGTTATGAAAGTAGGTCACCGCCTAAGGGGCGGTGACTGAGGTGAAAAGAAATTTGATTTTGTCAACGTGGACTTCGTTTTTGACAATCAGTATTCTGGTTGTGGTAAGGTCTTGTGTGACACCTACCGTGGGAGGGCTTAGTGCTACCACCGGCGTTCTCAACTGATCAATATGTTCTGTTCCATGCATATCCCGTGCACGCAACAATCGTTAAGATGGGATTTTACTACCTCCTATTTCGTTTTATGAACTTTTTGCTGTCAGAACACTTGTGGGTGCTTTGATTGTGATGACCGTGAAGTGGAATTGACTCGATGAACTGAGACCGTGTCGTGGTTTGACCATACTATGTTCGGAGGTTCTACCAACTTAGCTGCATCTGAATGCGATATACGCAGCCATCGTTAGATTATGAGTGAGATTACTTTCATAGATACCTTATTTCTGTGGCAAAGAATACTTTACATAATACTCAACTTTTTCCAGTCGGATTACTGATCTTAGAACCTTAGTGACTTTGTCTCGTCGGAATACTACAATTTTGTAATTCATTTTTACCAATATAATCTACATTTTTCAAGTTCATCGCATCGATTCGTGCGGTGCAAATTGTATTCTCAAACATCCTCTACCTTCTTCTGTGTCATTTCCTTGCTCTACCTGAAGAATGTGGGGCTATTTCCATGGGTCAAGGACAAGAAGTTCATGCTCGACGTCTTTTGTCGGCCAGTATGACTGATGGCCGTTGGGTTCTGTTACAGAATTGTCATCTGGGATTGAACTTTATGGACGAATTTTTGGAAACTGTAAGTTACATTTTAGTTTTATGATCTCATTTGCATCAGATAACAAAGAGTCGAATTTATGAGATTAAATAAGTGCACAAGCCCCTTTAAATGAACATATGATTGAACATGCCAATCTGTTTTGAAAACCCCTATCTGTTTGATGTGTTTGGTTTTCATGCTAATTTGGAATTCCACGGGGAGTCCAAGCATCTTTGTCCCATAGCTGGATGAGCTAACCTCATTAGCAAACAAGCAACCGTAGTTTGAAGCATGTGGTGTTATCAGGTATAACTGAGAAACAAAGAACTGCGGGAAGCTGAGTTGATTGAAACCGACCTAATGAGTACCAATCCGGAGGCGGTCTAAAGCTCGATTGGTAATCTCATCTCCTCGAGTGCGGTTTATATTCTGTGGTAAAAAATTACCTATTCCTATGTGTGTCTTACTCAGCACTGCTGTAGTGAAGCCGTTGCAGCGTTCGTTTTTCCTCAGTATTATTCGATTGATAACTTTGCTTCATCACGGCTCTTTTTCCGACGAGATAATTTCAAACTTTCTTCAAATGAAAATGTTTGTTTGCACAGTGTGTATAATGTATGGTGTAAAGTGAATTTCCGTGATTTACCACTAAATAGGGTGCATATTTGCTTGTTCTAGGAGTGCGAATTTTCTCACTATGCACGCCTTAACTCATTTGGCAGAAAAGAGTATCTCTGTACGACTAGAAAAAGTTAATGTTTATTTTTTATTTTCCTTACCTTACGCTGAAGAAGAAGAACATGAAAAACGACGAAAGAAAATATTTTTGGAAATTTCTAGATAACAAAAGATAGAAAATTTCTGTTACTAATAGAAGGATCGATATTATCATCCTGATTCCGAGCGATATTACCAACACCAGCGTCACTAATCTTGGTTTCATGAAATGGTTTACAACCCCCACCATCTGTCCACCTTCCACCCCTTAAAAAAGGTCACGGCAGCTGAGAACAGTCACGAATCGTTTCGATGCTGGCTCACAACGGAAGGCAATCCGCATTTTCCTATCAATCTGCTTCAGTCGTCCATCAAATTCACATATGACCCGCCAATGGGTATTCGTGCAGGACTGCGTCGAACCTACGCGTTACTTACCCAGGATCAACTGGACATTAGCAATCTGCCCCAGTGGAAACCGATGCTTTACGGAGTAGCTTTTCTGCACACCACGGTACAAGAGCGCCGAAAATTCGGGCCGATCGGGTGGAACATTCCGTATGAGTTCAACCAGGCAGATTTCACATCCACTGTTCAGTTTGTACAGAATCATTTGGACGAGATTGATGTGAAAAAGGTGGGTTGAGTCTTTCTGTTGCGTATCTCCAAACGCTGCATTACTTTTGATATTGAGCATGGGCTGGAAAAACATTTACTTACCGTCCGAACACGGGACTCAGTTTATATAGTTTTGTAATTGTGCTGCTATTAGGTCACCTCCTTGGACTTTCTTTTCGGACTGCGGTGTAACCGAGAATATTTTGGGTGATTGCACAATTAGAGATTGATTGACCAGTTGCGGACGGTATGTCAGATGTAGCACACACGGGAAAGATTTCGGGATATCAAACAGCTGTTTTATACACTTTTTGGCAATTTGGTGATGAAAGTAGAAGTGCTAAACCCGAGATTCATGAGGACGTTTTTAGCAATGAGAATTGAAGAAGAGAACCCGCAGAGGGCCCCAGTACGACCGATGTGGTATAGAACTGGAACGAGGGGACGCTGCCTATGACCATAGTTGCGTATCAGTCTCTTGAAACTAGGATCTAGCCAGTGGAACGCCATTAATAACAAATCAAACCGCACGATCACCGCAACACCTGGTGATAGACTTGTCAATCATATCACTCAGGTAATGTTACCAGTAGCTAAACGCTGAGTGATTTGAGGGACCATTGTCGATTGGTTAAGTACGATAACACGAATTAGCAAACAAGCATGCTTTTGGCACACCTAGTCCACAAGCTGAACACGACACTTTTTCAAGTTATTCAAATGTGGGTTTCGATACATAGGTTAAAAGTGACGAAAACCGATTCAAGTGCCAGCTGCGATAATTGTTTTGTATGTATTTTGTGTATTGTGAGTGATTGAGAGTAAGCGAAGGAGGATTATATTATCATATCGACGAGTATGGAAGGAATGATACTTTTACAAACTGTTTCTGTGTCATCAAACAGGACGGAATCGGATGGTGGGAGTGAATTACCATTACTTCGGTTGTTGGTGAAATTCGGTACTTAAACTCCTTTGTTCGTATAGAGAGCACGGGAACTCTTGCGCACATGGACTGCATGATTGGGCTACATCAGATTCCTAATAATTACAGTTTTTGTGGTCCTTGTAAATCCCAGATTCTGTACACTGATGCAATTATGTGGATTTCTCACCGTTCTATTTGCATACACGATCCGCAATGACCTGACAAGCACAGACGCACCAAAGCAAGCAACAACACTCATCATTCAGAAGTCTCCCGCTACCAATGCTATTTTAGCTATCATAAATTAATTCTAACAGTGACTTTTGCACCTAACCTGGAATACTATACGCATTCTTATCTATACAACAATATGCTACTAGCTCAAAGTTGTCGTTCAACTTTAGCGACCAACCGTATTTATTTTTTAACTACTCACGAGTAGTACACCGATATAATCAAATTTAATCAGTTAATTTGTATTTTGTAATTTGTATTTTGTCACCACAGGGGATTTCATGGCCTACGGTACGCTACATGATCGGTGAAGTGCAGTACGGTGGTCGAGTAACAGATGACTATGATAAGCGTTTATTGAATACATATTCAAAAGTGTGGTTCTCTGAGGCCATGTTCAGCGACACCTTCATGTTTTATCGAGGCTACAATATCCCGAAATGTCGCACCCTAGACGAATATCAGAATAGCATTGACATGCTACCATTGGTTGATTCACCCGAATGTTTCGGATTGCATTCAAATGCTGACATTACGTGAGTTTTTAATTGATTAATTCTAGTACCTGTCGGTAAGGTATATTCTAATTCGAAGTTGTTTCCATCACCGAATTGTATCAACGTTACACACAAATAAGTCCGTTTGTCCGTTTTTTAAATCGCAATTCAAACTGATCTTGTCAATCAGTTATCTTCTTCATCGAATGTGCCTTCTTAATTCGACATCTCGTTAAGCCAACAGATGTGTGTTTTCTTTTTTACTCGTGACAAAGATGGTGCATCTCATCAGGTCATGTCGCTACATGTTTGCCTGTGCACTGTAATGTGATAGTTTTATTTTATAACACCATTTTGTATGTTGAACAGCAGTCGGGTAGGGCCCCATAGTAACGGGGACTTGCTGTTTTAGTGATGGAATCCGGTAACCTTAACTCCGGGACTTGAAGTGGTGAACCATATAAGACCCCGCTGGGTTAGGAGTGGTTGGCGGTGGTGGAACTCGAACTGCGGACCTTAAGATACAAAGCACACTGGCGACAGCGATTAAGACACTGCTCCACCTTCAGACGTCTTTTGCGGAATAATACGTACATTCAGTTTTTCAAAAATGACCCAGTCGAAAGGATTCAATCAAAGTTGACTAACGAAAATGAAAAAAGGAAAATTCGCAAACTAAAAAATGTTATCCAAGCATAAAAACTGTGATGGAAGAACACTTATTTGTAGAAACGACTTCTCGCATTATATGTGGTCGATTTTCACTGAAGAGCTTGGATACTAAGACAGAAAGAGAGCCATGTAAATCTAATCGAGAGAGAAACCGAATGAGTAACACAAAGTGAAACACTCGGAAACCGATGGGGAAGAAAACAATGGAATTACTAGCTCGGGTCACCTCGGGGAATGATGCTTACATTTCCCTCGTGTGCATGTGAAATATGCATGCCAGAGGATTGGGCAGACGCCGAGAAACCAGGTGCAAAGGAGAACTGATTTTGATAAAGGAATGCGGTTCGTTTTATGCTGAAAGTTCATTTAATCCCATAGACGTTAGGAAATTGCAATGCATTCAGAGATTATCCTTGTTTATTAATCTGTTCGATGTGTTTGTAAATTCATCTCGAAGTGGGAAATTTAATGTTTGTTCCCTTACTCCCCATAGACCCTTTCAACTTGTACCGATTGTCATTGTGTGTTGGCTNTCCAAGTAGAACCCTTAGAGAAGCATAAGTTCTCGAATAATTCAAATTCAGTTTGATCAACTTTGTTTAAGCATCGAGTTTCATCTGACTGATTGCTACAACTGTTTGGGGGCAGAATACATCAAGCCTGGCGAGTTGAACAGAATAGAGTGCTTCAACTGATCAGGAACACTGACCAGGTTTAACGTAACACATTTACTCGAATTACAGGTACTCGACCAACACGGCAAACTCCATGCTCACAACTATAGTCAACATTCAACCGAAAGACAGTGGTGGAGGTGGTGGTGAAACGCGAGAAGCAACTGTGTACCGAATGGCAAATGACATATTGGAAAAAGTACCACCGGATTACAACCCGTTCGAAGTGAGTCCAGTGACCCCCGGTTCTTCATTGGTTGCATTTACCTGTGAACTCCACACGCACACACACGCACACACATACACACACAAACAGAGAGAGGGAGAGAGAGAGAGACAAACACACACACTATTGATCACCTTTCCCTTTCAATTGTTAATTATCAATCCTAACACCCGGATTTCCTTTCCATACTGAGGTAGCCCACGCCATATTAACAGTAAACCCACCTAGCCTTTGCTACATAAAATTATGGCCAGCTCAATGTCTCATTTATCTCGCGACAGATAGATAAACTATCCAAACATTACTACAGGGATAATCTGAATGACACACCGTCATTTGTATTTATTTATTTATTTCTCCTTGAGTACTTGAGAAACTACTTAATATGCAGAGACGCAGAAACGCGTTTAGGTTCGGATATGTGATTATGAGCTGAAGTTTATCGCATCGCATAGGTGCCGTTAAGCTCCCTGAATGGGGATGATCGTAACCAATGGTTAGACACTGAGTGATTTGGCTCAAAATGATCACCTCAGGGGACATCCAATAAAGTTGAAGACCCAGAACAGCCATTTTGATTGCCGGCATCACTCGTTTGCAGAGTGTGCGACGTATGGAATTCTCTTCCATCCGATATAGTGTGCGCTCTTACAGTTGAACTATTTAAATCACAACTTGATAAAGTATTGGAACACTAAAAATTTTGAGATCCGTGAGTGATCATGCGAATTGTTATTATTATTATTTTCTCCTTGTGAAGTTATTCAAAAGATTCTGTAAAAATCTTATGGTGTATGATAAGCTTTAGCTTTGTTAAATAGCCCATAATAAAACTTTGAATTTGACCTTGAGTCGATTTATGGCTTACATTGTGACATCCTCAGTTTCATTCAGCACTCCATGGCAGTGATCGTTTCTATTCCCCTGGGCTGTCCTCTCCAGTGCATATGTAATGCTAGGGTTTCGGCGATTCACTCCATTATTCTCAGTTAGCCAACATACCTGTACGTAGAGGGGGTTCCTGTGATCCACTCGTCTATCTTCTAGCAGGCCTGTGTGGCCCATTGTACATGTTACATCAGATTGTCCAATAGCAACAATCATTCAGTTGCTAAACCTCTAGAAAATTATCGGATCGGTTGAGATCATTCAATGAACTTACGCAATTGTGTGTTTCCTTTTATATTCGTACCCATGTTCACGAAACACACACCAGTCAGGTTCACTCGGAATTACAGGAACAAAAAAACTACAATTTTGGACAACACTTACAGTAAATTTGATGAATTCTTATTATTGCCAACGTTGGGCTTTTCGTTAACCTTGATGTGATCGCAGAGACATTCTATTCGTGTTCCTGTTGCAAGAAACTGTAAATTCAAATAGCAAATTTAGTCACACAAGTTCAATCTAAAGAGGACCGAGTTCTTAGAAAGAGACTTTTGATACACGTAGACAGAAAAATGCTCGCAATCCCAGATGTTTATTTAGATCATCGGCGACAGTTTCAGTCCTAACGGTTGATATTTTTACTATCCACTATGCGAAATTTTACTGTCCCATTCGTTCGGATAACGACCGTTCATTTTGCCCCCAGGTCAAAGAACGACTGATCAAAATGGATCACCTGAAGCCGTTGCACATTTTCCTGCGTCAAGAAATCGATCGAATGCAACGCGTGATCTCCAGCGTCCGGAGCACACTAACCGACTTGAAACTGGCAATCGATGGGACTATAATCATGTCGGAAAATTTGCGTGACGCGTTGGACAACATTTTTGATGCTCGTATTCCAAATGCGTGGAGAAAAGTAAGCTGAGCTGCAAATTACGGTTTTCTTATCTGCATACAGGTTTCATTTACGCAGTACATCAACCGTGGGAATGAACCATTGGATGAGCGAGAGCTGAGTGGCATTGGAGTCTGAATGATTAGACGATAATTATTCGTTGTTATATTCATCGATCATCATAGATTGAAGTATATCTTAGTATTCAGTCAACTGAAAACAGAATTCAAGGGAATCCGGCGTACGCTATCGTATTTTGACTCATGTTTGGACAATCGTTCAGTCACGTATAGATTAGTACCCGAAGTGTAGCTCGCGTTGTTTGTTTGGAATATTGGTGTTGGGTAGTGGTGGTGGCCAGGTTGTAATGCCACCAAATTATCACCCTGCAGGACGTGTTTGAATCCCACTACCACCAAAACCACCACCGCAAAATGAAAAAAATAGTCTGATCAGCTGCCCGATGGTCAAAATATATAAAAGGTCCTTTTACTTCCTTTTTCTATTTATTGAATATGGAAATGTATAGTCAACTTTCAGGAAGGGGGCTGCGGCCATACAAAGGCTGCCAAGTTGGTAGTATACTTGCGTTTTATCTGTGAGTTCCCGGCTTCGATCCCTAATCGGGGTGATAGATTCGCACTGCTGATGAGATCCATCCAGGTCAAAACAGCTGCCCAGTGATTCCTGGCTTTTCAGTTCATAATTCAGCAGCTACTTACACGATGAAATCCATTATATAATAGAATCAAATCCTCTAGTGCTCTCAGGTAACTAATCATGGTTCGACAAACACTATCCTTCTCTTTTATGTATCACTAATTTCTATTTTTTCGGATAGTGAATTTGAAATGTGTCTCGTTCTCGGTGGGTATCAAACGAAGAAATTAGGTTAAACTCAAGCAACAGTTGCTCAGGTCAACGAGGCCTTCGAACATTTGGTCCATAAAGTAAGTCAGACTGAATCCACCTTTAGTGCTTTGGACATAGAATGCATCAACGGGGGGTGAAACTACTGTGCAATGACCGAGAACGATTACAAGATAACGGCAGCGACCTTATTTAAACTTAGGTATAAGAGCTTTGACTCGCAACTCCAGTGTTCGCGGTTCGAGTCCCGGGTGGGGACACAAAACGTACGTCAACAAAACATGAAAATGAAATAAGATGACCCAAACAAAATCTATTTTAACTTGCATTTTTGCCCTAGTAATCCTGTGGACTAATTCCGTCTCATCTATTTGAATTCTCCTGTGTACGGCATTTTATTCAGAGGAGTGTGTTGTTTTCAAAAACAGAATTGTTCAAGTTTGTATTTTGGTATCTGTATTTACATAAACTATGTAATCTTATTTGCTTATAATTCAACCATCCTCCTCAGTCACTCGGGCTTAAAACTTCCATTTGTGCACCATGCTACCAGATTGTTGGAAACTTGACTGTGTGTACCTCGTCTACATAGAACAAACGAAAAACAATTCGACACTTAAAGCGTAGTTCAGTATCGATTTTCGAATGATCATGACAGATTAGCGTTAAGCAAATAGAGTAGGATTGATTGTAGATATGAACCACAAAGTGAACTCGAGAACCTTAGATGATTATACTTCTGGTAACTTCTGAAACTAATCACATGGACCTAATAGGTTTCAGTTCAAAAATGGGAGCAAGCGAACGTCAAATTGTCAGGGAGGAACGTAATATGATCGACAGGCAAAGAATAATTTGTGAAAAATCACAACTGGTCATCTGACTTGTCTTCAAACAACCAAGGAGGNATCTGACTTGTCTTCAAACAACCAAGGAAGTCACTGCACACCAGCCCAACCGTCAGTGTCGTGGTGCTGTTTAGATTCACAAAAGACACACGAGCACTACAGACGTCTTATTGTTTCGATTCCTATTTCGATCATTTCACAAATACTCTCAGCTTTCACACAATAGTGTAGCAACGGTGTAGTCACCCTTGCTAAACGTTTACGTTTCTTATTTCCGCTGAAATGTCGTTCAACAGTTGCACTTGAAATGGATGTAGCAAGAACTAATTCCATGGTGGGCGTCCCCGTTTCCGTTGAATACGCGCGAAAAATTACTCGAACAATTCGCTCGGTTTCATTGCTGGTGGATTCTATGGTGTCATTTCTGCTCGGGTTCTTTTTTCAGATTTCTTGGGAGTCCGCGACGCTGGGATTCTGGTTCACTGATCTGCTGGATCGAAACGTTCAGTTCAGCTCGTGGCTATTTGA